GCCAGCAATGACAATGTCATGTGCGCTGCATTGTGCAAATGTGGCCAGCAGGAGTTGGCATAACCACTGGACCGGGTGGTGCTGCTGGAGTCGGTTTGTTGCAATGTCAACGCCAAAGACAAAGGCACACTGCGACCAAATGTCAAAATGGCTGCAAGGCATCTCTCAGTGGTGGCGACGATGGCGACGGCTGCTGCAGCTCTTGCGGCGGCTTCTGCTGCTCAGCCTGACCCCAAGTTGACCTCGAGCGCAACGCGACTTTAAAAAGCGGCCAGCAGCATCGATTTTTATGCGCCCAACGCAGACAAACAAATAAACGTAGATAAATTTGCATGTATATGGCCCGGCTGACATTAAAAATTTGTATATAAAATATTGATCAGAATTGACGATTGCAAAAATGACGGGCCCGCAGGATAGCCAGGCAATATGTCAACTGCCCGTCTGTATGCCTGGCTATATGTATCGTGTGTGTGTTGTGTGTGCAGTCTGTCATTAAATGGCCTGTTTGCTGTGTTTCTTTTTTAACGTTGACCGCAACGCTTAAAAGTAAAAATTGGGTTTAATTTCGCAATTTTCAACTTTTTTATAAACCTGATCCTGTCTAGCTGATGCAGTGCTAAAGATCGAGCTTCAATAATCACTTTAAAGGCTGCCGGGGGACGGAACATGGTAATTTTGCCAGCAGCTTGATCGATTTTTGTAATCCCTTTAACATTTTTACACAACTACGCACCTGCCATTCATTCACTCACACACACACACACACACACACACACGCCTACACATACGCCACAAAGTCTTGTCAGGCTTCATTGTTTCTGCTGTGCGTTGTCCATGTCCATGCGGTCCAACTAAGCGGAAGCTGTTGGAATTTACCAACGTTTAAACTTTAATGCTGTGTACAAGAGCACTTTTTATTGTTGTCCTGCTTTGCTTTTCCATTTTTTTGCCATACTCTTCACCTATCCACCTACGTCCCTTTCCCTGCAACTGCACGGTGCTTTAGTGGACTTTGGACTTTTTTTTGTGCTGCATGTCCTCTGCCTGGCTGCCCGCTCCAATTGAACCTAATCCGGCTGCTAAAGTATTAGCTACGTAGTTGTATGCTCATCCCGGCTGTCTAAACTGCCTTATGCTGCTTTTGTTGTTTGCTGGCATTTAAAAAACAAAAAGAAACGAGCCCGAGCGGAGGTAGCTAGCAGCGGACCAACTATGGCCAGCTGGAGGTCTGTAAAAAGTTTTGCCTCTGTCTGGGTATCTGCAGCTGTAGCTCGAGCTGTCCCCTCACTTAATAACAAGGCGTTGGCCGTTGTGTGTGTTTGTGTGTGTATGTCACCCTGTCGGCTGCAGAAAATGAACGGCAGTCACTTGGCCCTTGGAAACGACGAGCATACTAATCTGTCTCCTCCGCCTCATCATGGTTACCGTCATCGTCATGTTTTCCGTACAGCCAGTAAATGAAGTGAACGAGAGAACTCCGATCATTGTGTTTGGCAATCAGGCGCTTATAGGACTTCTCGTGCATTGACTTCGTTATATACATCTTATATATGTATCGCTACTACCTTATCTATAAAGCGGTTAGCGAGCAGGCAGCGCTTCAAAGGGATTCGTGATAGTCGATATCAATGAATGTCACTCAGTTCTTATTATAAAATTAACACTAACGTCAACTAAGCGACAGATCCGATCCGGCAAGATATGATGGCAAGTGTCAGGTGAGCAAGCTAAGGCTTACTCGACCGTCAACATGGCGTATGATTGATTTTCAAGTCATAAACCAAGCAGGGCAGGAGCAGCAACAGCAGCAGCTTGACAGCAAACTGTAAACTGAACGTGCCCAGATAAATGCGGCAAATATTAAACGGAGAGTAAGCTCCAATAATAATAAAAGTTATAAATCTTAGCATTGCCTGTCGCCCCGTCCAGATGAGAATCAGCTGAAGCATGAGAGGATGTGGACGTTCAGAAAGGGCAAAGAAGGCGACGATGGCGACGACCACGACGACGACGACGACGACGACGACATGCTGCAGCGTGGCGATAATAACAATTTATTGCACGCACACAAAGAGTCCCAAACACAAACACTCTCACACACACACACACACACACACACACCCACAGGGACACAGGCATGTGCACAGTTGCCAAGTGCCGGAAAATGCCGCGAGACACAACTGCAACAACAAGGATAACAACAACGAGAGCAGCATCAGCAGGCAGACAATCATAAAGAGCAGAGCAGGGCAGGGCTGAGCAGGCAGACGGGCATAAAAACCGCACAATAATAAAAATGAACAATGACAGGTTAATAGCAAATAAATGAAAGCCCATAAGAAAAGCGCAACAACAGCACAAGAATAGTATGAGAGAGGGACAAGAATATAAACAAAAAAAAAAAAAAAAAACAAGAAAGTGACAGCCAGACAACAGAAAGAACAAGAACAACAACAACTGAAAGCGACAATGGGTGACACAGTAGCCAGGAGCGCAGCGAAGAACAGAGACTACGTCCAGTTGCTCCAGCGAACTCTTAGTCTAAGCAATTGATATATGGTTTTCAATTTTCAAAACCATTGACCACTTGCAGCAGAACTACCAGCAACAGCAGCAACAACAACAACAACAACAACAGCAACAACAACAACAATAACAATAACAACAAAGAGCCCAGAACTAAATGGTGTAAAAATGCTGTGGAAAATGGACGCCAGGCGCCACAAGTTGATGCTGGCATATTTAAAGCTTAGCTGCGAGCGTTAGAGACTCGTTAGATGCCGGGCAAAGGAGCAGGCCAGGATAATGGCAGCAAACGTACTTAACGACTTCAATAATGACAATAATGGCCAACGACTTGGCAGCGCCCAGCTTTTGCTCATCGGCAAACAGGTTGACAAAATGCACTCGACATGCAATGGCAAATGCGCTGCCTGCCAATAATAGTCATCGTCATCATCATTATGGTTGTACAGGTGTGCTGCGTGTGTCAATAGGACCTAGCCAGGACCTAGTATGCTGCATATTGAAACATCATATGGTTAAGTGAGAGCAGAAATATGTTGTCATGCACATGCAGGGTATTTGACGTTGAGTGCTTTAATTTATCCGCTTTAAAGCCTTTTAATGTGCAATGTAAGTTATAATATACATTTTTATTGATATTAATTTAAAATTGCATAAATCAAGAGCAAGGGAGAAAAGGTTAGATATTCATAAATTCATTTGCATTTACATTAAAATTATAGGAGTTAAATATTATCTATAAATATATGCACAGTCTGTTGCATTGCAAAACACTATTTTGATTATATATTTTGATTATTTATTCAATTAATTTATTACATTATTTAGGTGTTGCATGCAACCCGCGAGCGCATTAAATTTTATTCTATTTGGCAAGTTTTAAAGTGACAAAGAGAAAGAGCGAAAAATCGATCACCTGTTTAAAGCTCAGACGCCCACGAGACGACCGAAACGGAAAGGAGATGGAGCAGCACCCGCAGCAGCAACAGCAGCAGCAACAGCAACAGCAACAATGGCGGCTACTTGGCAGCTGTGCCAACGCTTGGGCGAACGCATCAGTCAACGTCCTTAGAGTTTAACAAAGAAGGACAATGCGAGCGCACGTGGAGAGAGGTAGACACCGGGCCACTTTATAAGCCAAATTCAACGCTTGCTCGTTGTTGTTGATGCTGTTGCTGTTGTTGCTGCTGTTGCTGTTGTCGCTTGCAATGCGCCTTTGTCTGTTTGCTTTTTGGAAGGGCAAGCATGACGACAACTGCTGCTGCTGCTGCTGTTTCGTCTGCCCTCTTTTTGGCAATTTGTTTCTGCATCTTACAACGAATTCAATTGAAAATTTTAACAGACACTCGACAGGCGACGAGCATCGAGCACCGAGCGACGAGCGTTGCAAATTTCAAAACAAATTTGCCGCAACGCAACAGCAGCAAACTTTTTGCAAAGAAGTCGAAACTTCGATTCGATTCGACTCGATTCAATTCGTTTCGATTTTCAATTCTCGCTGCATTCTCTTTATCCCGTGCTCTCGCGTCTAGCCTTTCAGTTGGTCAAGTGTAGACGTGCGTTTAAAAGTTACGTATGCGCCACGTTGTCCAAGCCACTTCAGCTGAGCACAATTGGCAGCGTCTTGTCTTCTTCTTCTTGCTCGTCTCCCGCTCTGTCTGGGTGTCTGTGGCGAGCTATGTTCAGCTGTTTGCTTAGTGCAGTTTTCACTTTGTGGGCGTTGCACAAAAAATAACAAACAGCCGCACCCCCAAGCCCAGCCTGACTTTCTTCTGCTATTTACTTTTGCCTTTCACACTGCCTGACATCACGTTAGTTTTGTTTGCTTCCCAGTGTGTGTATATGTGTGGGTGAGAGTGTATGTTTGCCTTTCGTTTAGCAATGGCTATGACAAAATCAAAATCAAATCGTTGAACCAATGCCAAAGTGGAAATTGTCAATAATTTCAAATTGATTTCTGTTTGATTTAACACAACAACAACAGCAAATAAAATAAAACGAAAGAAATAAATAAAAGTAAACATACAGCAAAAGGCACTATAATTGTGCCATCTTACATAGAAATACCTGGCTAGTTTTGTCTAGTTGAGGGCGAAAGTGAAACAGTCAACATTGACTGGCGCGTGCGGCTCCCCAAATAACATTAGACAGCCATTATGGGCTTGGCCGACTTTTACGACGCATCATAAAAAGCATTACTTGAACTGCGCCTGACTCGTAAAACTCGTGAAATTCCTGAGCAGGCAGCGGCAATAAAATCAAATCGATAAGTGTGCCCAAAGTGTTCGAATAGCTCGTAAGCTAATCGAAATGGGCCAAAGCTCAATAAAGTCGATGTGCTTAATGTACTTAGCAATTAATTTCTAATTATATTTACAATTCCAATAACTATTCATAAAATAAGCTGATAGTAGAACTTTATTTTTATATATTATATTTTTTTCTAAAATTGCTTTAAATCTTTTGCTTACCCTGCTTGGGCGAAACGCTGAGCACCTGCTGCGGCGACTGCTGTTGCGAGTGGATTTGGTATTGCTGCTGCTGCTGCTGTTGTTGCTGCTGTTGTTGTTGAACGGCCACCGCCTGCTGCTGAGCGGCACAAACGGCCGCGGCGACAGCAGCTTGTTGCTGCTGCTGATGATGAGCTGCTGCTGCTGCAGCTGCAGCGGCTGCAGCGACCGCTTGCTGCTGCGACTGCTGCTGATGCGGCGACTGGGACTGTGGATGATGCTGCTGCTGAGTGGTAACAATGGACATTTGCTGAGATGACTGCTGTTGCTGCTTGACATTAACCTGATGCTGTGCCTGCTGCTGCTGCTGCTGCTGAGCTGGCGCCTGTTGCTGCTGCTGCTGCAGGTGTGTCTGGTGTATGGCCAGCAGCTTAGTCTCATAGGGCTTGGCGCCCACCGACAACGGCTGACTGCTGAGAGTCATCTGTGCTGTTGCAGGCATCATTAGCGTGGGCATTGCCAACATTTTTTCAATGGCACTTTAATGTGCTGCTGTTGCTGTTGCTGTTGCTGCTGTGGTGTTGCTGTTGCACGTTTTGCGGTTAGACGCAATTCGCTTTGATGTTTAATGAAGTGCCGCCTCTTAGTTGATGTGTATCATCAAATCGTGTTATAATTTTGCTAAATATATTTCGGAGCCTCTTTTTTATTTGTATTTATATTTGTTGTATTTTTTGTTTGTGTGAAACCGCACTTTTAATTGCTGTTTTTGCAGTTTGTTTGCTTGTTTGTTCTGTTTTTTTTTTTATGTTTTATTTTTTTGGTTTTCCTTAATGTTATATGTAAATCATCTGATGCGTTAAATGATTTCTACAATTTTACTAATTTCAAAAGTTTCTCTTTGTGGTTTGTGCTCGCATTTATTTTCCGTTTTGCTTTTAAAAACTTTTTTAATTTAATTTAGCTTTACCTTCACTTATCACAGACCAATAAGAATTTTTTTAGTAAGTTCATGTGGTTTTCGTGTTAAAGTTGCTCGCTAAAACACAAAGTTTGTTTAATCCTGTTAAAAATATATATAGCCTGATTGAAATATATTCGCTAACTACAATAAATTATGAAACTAATGAAAAATATAACATACATTTCAAGAGAAGCATTTAATACTATATATTCTCATCACTGATAAAAACAAATATAAAATAACACAAATAATTGTTTATTATTTTTCCTACTAATTTTGTTTTTCATATGCATTTTAATTGTGAACTACAATTTAACATTTATAGTTGAAATATTTATTCAACTGAACTGATTATCTGCACAACTTCTGCTCTGTGGAATCCACAAACATCTTTTTGGTAAGCACATTTTATGCTTCGTTTTTTGAAGTACCCCGAGCACAAACATTACATTTTGGGCACAAGCATTATCGTATATCAAGACGAAGCCATTCACACATCATTTGAAAAATTAAATTTAATATTTTACGATTTGCTGGTGTGCTTCTGTGTATTCTGAGCACATTCAAAGCAGAGCATGAGCCAACAAAAAAATAAAAATTATGCGAGAGACAGCGAAAGTGCGCGTAAGGCAATGCGAAGTAGAAGATGAAGAAAAAAAAAATGATAACAATAATAATAAAAGGCAGCTGAATACAAGCGCTGGTTTTTATGCGAGAGACGCACGCCCCAGAGACAAAACAACAGAAGCCAGAGACCGGAAAGCACAAACTCTGAAACTCCAAAAATCGCACGCCCCAAGTGTTGGCAAGTGTCAGGATCAGGCGCTGCCATAGCCTCAGTCGGCGTTGACGTCAGTCTAACGCTTCCGGTTTTTATAGCGCAACGCACACAAAATTCCAGACAGTGCGACAGCGGAGCAGACGGACAAATGTTATGTATAAATATAAACTTATATTTTTATTTTTGAAAGCCAAGAAACACACACACAGACGCAGTAAAAAGCAACGAGTGTACCAAAATTGCTAAACAAAAAAATAAATATACAACACACAGCATTCGCTGTCATCTAAGTGAAGTGTGCCTGTGTGTGTCTGTGTGTGTGTGTGTGTGTGTATGATTCATACACACAAATGCACTGGCCTTTTATGTGTCCGCGCTGTGTCGGCGGCAGTCGGCGTTGGCTGGCTGAAAGCATTTATTGGCTGCTCGTTGTCGGTTTATGTGGCATATAAGCCGAAGTGGCAGAATGTGTGTGTGTGTGAGTGTGTGTGGTTGTTGTTGTACATAATATGTCCAAAAAACACCAGCACCAGAAGCAACGGCCAAATACATGCAGGCAAAAAGTCGTTGTGCTCTATGTAAATATAACCAAAATCGATGCACAGTTTTGTGAGAACTTAAGAATAATATTTTTATGAAAATCGCATTTAAGAATATCAAATATCTTGAAAGGGCCGCAAATTGTGATATATATATATATATATGTATGTCTATTTCTATATTTAATTCAATATTATATATTAAGTCAACAAATTCATTTTTCTAGACGCACGAACAAACTATTAGGCATGCATAAGACTTCACTTTACGTGCCCCACAAAGTATGCAACGAAATTTGTTCAACAGAATTTCACTTTTAAAATGTCTGAAAGACACATAAAAAACCGAATTCTAAAGAAAGTGTTTACAAATTATTAACTAAACAAAAAAAAAACGAAACTTTAAAATAATATGCACTTTTTGAGCAAAATTAAATATTTAATGCATATTCAATTATTAAAACATGAAAATAATTTGCACTTTTTAAGTAAAATTAAATACTTAACGCATATTTTAAATATTATTATTTACTTTTGCCAACTTTATTTCGTCAGTTTATTTTTGTTTATGTTTTCGATATATTTTTGTATTATTCTTTTATTATTTATATCTTGCAGTCGCTTTTGCTGTTTATTTTTTACGCGTCGTTGACTGCTGCCTTTGTCCGTTTTGGATTTCTATTTTAATTTTATTATATTTGTTTTTGTTTTTGTGTGCTTTGTATATGAATTTCCGTCTTCAAGTTGTTGCGTTTGTAGATGCGTGTTTTTTATATATATATTTTTTGTTTTTGGCTTTGGTTTGCTTTGCTTTGTTTGCTGATTTGTTTGAAAATTATAATAACAACTTAACAACAATGTAACGAATATCCTTTCTTCACGAGGACACAATTCACACTGAATGCGAAGCGCGCTCGTCGGTCTCACAAATAGCCAAAGACATCGTCCGCTGTGGCTTACCGTTATTCTGCCGGCGTCGCTGTCGCGCTGCCTGCGCTCCGAGTCCTTGCGTACAGACGAGTTGCCAACTCGTCGACCTGTCCAGCTTCGTTTGCTAATACCGCTCAGGCCTGCGCACAGCCACGTTTCGAAATGGTTTGTGTCCCAGTTAAATTCGAACTATGCGATTTATAGCATGACAAGCTGCAAATTTCCCATTATCGAAGGACTTTTAGCTGTTATACACGGACAATACAGCAGCTTCTTATCAGAGTTGCACTCTAAGAGGCTTTCGCACAAAGGACTTATGTTGCGTTTTGCGGGGATGCTGCATTGTTGCTTTGTGCCACCGACTGTGCACCTCAACTCTTGCAACAAATGCTTTGAGCGGCTTTGCAAACAAAAGCAGCACCAGCAGCAGCAGAAACAATGTCAAATTGTAAGTATGTAAGTATATAATAGACAAACAAACACACCCACACTCGCACACAATCGCATACTCATGCGCTTACACATACACAAACGCGTGCCATTGTTTATGCGCTCAAGAGCCAATAATCCACTTTTGTTTTGTTATCATTCGCGCGCCCTTATCCAAACGCCTTAAACCACACGGCCACCCCTGTCAGTGGGGCAACGCGTTAAGCGCCTTTGCCACTGCCTTCACCCGTCTCCACTTAATTTCTACTTGATTTGTCGCTTAAGAAAACTAATTGTCTGCCTTTTGTTGAGCGTGAAAACAATAGAAAACATTTTAGCAACTGTTACTTTAGCCAAAAGCGTATTAGAAACATGGCCGGTTGTTGGAGTGGGTGAAGGGGGTGAGACAGTGAGCAAATGTTGGTGGCAAAGCTCGAAAGTGGCTAAAGAATTGGCGGGCGGCTTTAATGGTTTTGGTCTCTATAGTAATGCCAAGGAGCTGACGGCGTTAGTTTTATGCCTCGTGATTGGCCAACAATGTATTCAAGGCCATTCGCTTGAGGCGCAAATGCAAATGTAATTTCGGTGCCAAAATAGTTGAATAAAAAACACGCACAATTCTTGGATCTAATGGGCACGTCTCGTAATATACTTTTGATCTTTAGTCAGTCAAAGTTGACCATCAAATCACCCTACATTCAGCAACCAGCAATGGTAAAAATTCCTTACCATTTATTTTTCGTTATACAATTAAAACGACTGTTGCAGCTGTGGGCGTGACCCAAACGGAAATTTAACTTCCTTTGCATATTCATGCTCATGCACAAACAATCAGGACTATTCAAGTTGCAGGCCATGTTGTTTTCAGTGGCAAGAATTTGCGTGCAATAACCACAAGCTCAGAACTAAAATGCCACAGTTGAAAATTCGGTATGAATTTCAGGTATGAAATTGCAATAACACCTGAGAAAACATTGAACTAAATTTTTCTTAATAGTGTGTAGATTCAACTGCAGCTACCCTTAAAGAGATTATTGTCTGCCAGTTTGACTGAACAAAAAAATATGCTGATTTTTGATTAATATTTATGCATCCCCTTATGTTATTAACCAAAATCAACAGAAAAGAAGAAAGATTAAATATATATATAAAAATCTAACACAAAACTCTTTTTGTAAAGACATATTTTTGCAGCTATCAATGAGAATAGCTATTTGATTCGAGTCATTCTTTCTGATATCCTAATTTGCTAATAATAAACATAATTACTTTAAACTCAAATTAGTATTTCGTTTACAACGTTAAATCCTATTCAAATGTAAGCGCTTAAAACAATGTTTTGTGCTAACAGTATTTTACAAATCGCAACAGCTGGCCAGCTTATTAACTTTGTCAGAGCTTAAAACAAATATAAGCATAAAGAAGAATTTCTGTTCTGAAATGGGTGAAAAGGCGTAAAAATGGTTATGTGCAAAAGTGTGTAACAGGCAGAAGGAAGTATTTTTGGCCCAATAGAGTTTACTTATTCTTTGTACGTGACATTAATCGTGTCCAAGCAATAGATAAAATTCTTAATCCAAATGTTGTTGCTTAAAGAAATCTCGAGGGTGTGTAGATCTAGAGTCAACCAATTTAACACATACCCAACTTCCGCATCATGAAAGATGGATACATTTCAATTATAAACACATAACAATAGTATGACATACATTTAAGATTTTCTTTTCTGTTCTTTTTGCGAAGATAAGATTATCAAGATCAGTTACGAAACACAGAAATAATCATAGAAAACGTTTGCTAAGTTGAAGATAGGATCGCAATTGGAATTGAATTGTATGCTGTCCAGTATTATAACGCAACACGGAATTAACTTTTATCATTTTTAGTTTTTACAATGTTAGCCTTATACCTTTACCCAGCAAAAATATTTAAAAAAGTATATATTTTCGCTTTTGGTAGAAGGAGGGTCAAGGTATCTGCCAGTCGGGTATTCCCTATTAGAGCACTCTTACCGGTTGCCTGTTCGCCTTTAATTACCCAGTTAACCGCCCAGATAAGATTGTTATGAAGTTGCATTAGCAATTGATATGCACGGGGGCTTATGCTCTTTTATCCGCGCAATGCCGGACCCTGTGCACTTTTGCATTTAAATGCAAATGTCCTCGAAGTTGTGCTGCAGCGTTGACGGCCACAACAATAACGATAGCAACATGGCGACATACATATTAACTGCATTGTGACTTAATACACGTGTGTGTACATATATATATATGTACATGACGCACACACACAAGCACACACATATAGTTAGTGGCAAATACGCACACACACCAGCACACCCATGCAGAGGCAAAGGACTCACGTGAGCGATTAAAATCTGAAGGAAAGTATTTCTGTTTTTTCTTTTTTTCACTGCTGCTGCTGCAACATTGAGGGTTGTTGCCTCTGCCAAGCGAGGCAAGCGCCGCCAGCTGATGTGTAAATGAGCAGAGCTGAGCGACACGACGACGCGCGGCGCGGCGCTGCCCTGAAAGGGTTGTTCAGCTGCGACACGGGCAGCGACAGCGGCGTGTAATTGGAGGCGAGTGTCGTGTAAAATGTAAAACTTGCACCGTAAATAAATCAAAACTTTCTGACTGAACAAACATTCAGGTGAGCGAAAAAATGCAGCGTGCGACGGCAACAGCCGCCAGCTCCAGATGGAAGTGTAGCAAGTGTAGCAGCAACCTAAATGCGGGCCTGCGGGGTGGGCTGGCAGCTCACAGTTTCGTATTGACAAGTGCGCCCGGAGGGAGCCAGAGGTGTGCAGCTAAAAGCGGGCACAAAAACGAGGCCGGTGGATTATTTATGCTAGAAATTGGAACAGCTGCTGCCGTTGGGCTTGAGAGGGCAGCCTCTTCATCTGCAGCTGGCTGAGCTGTTGACAGCACTGAATTTTTTTTTTATGTTTGTTTTTTTGGGAATCTGCAAGCTGAAATGTTGGGTAAGTTCATGATACACACAGCAACACAGTTCGTCAATAAAGTTTTACTGTAGGCACATTCCTATATTCATAGCATAATTAAGAGATTTTCCTTTCCGGAATTTAAAGCAGCTCCAAGAGACCTTCATCTTATGTCGCGCATTTTATTGATTTATTGCATAATATGCTAAACAGCTTGACCCTCACTTGGGGGCTCGCCACAAACTTTTTTGATTTATATATTCATTACTTGTACGCTGTATTTTTGCCGAGCACAGAATGAAATGTAAATGGAGCATTAATACGGCTGCAGAACTACTTTACTATACATATCCATATATATATATGTATATATATGTATATATATATATATATATATATATGTAGAAAGGGAATTGAAGTTGTTGGAAAAACTTTTGCGGAAATCTTTGCAAAATGCGGCCAGGACACAGCCACATTTGCGGTGGTCGCAATAATAGAATCATAAAATTATTATTATAAATAAACAGTTTCATGAAAGAGATCTTAAAGTCATTTGCAAGCTTTCTCTGCATCTGTTTCGCACTAAAGTTTCTGATATCTTCAACAAAAACAACAACATCACAAAACTGTTGAATAAGTTGACAGGTTTTTCTATACCCAGTGCGCGAATAGCAAATGTACAGACTACGCACACACTGTTAAACATCATTCTCGGAAAATGCCCTAAATATTCTTGAATAAATATGATTTTCGAATTATTGTTATACTTTCACAGGAAAACAGAAATCAAATCATATTGCATGGAAAATCTGAATCATTAATGGGACGTGTTCTGCTGTACATAAACCAAGAAAGGACATTGAATATTGTTCTACGAATTGTTAATGTGTATTTCTACAATCGCAAATATTTTTGTTAATTATGGTATCAATTTTTTCATTTCGAGAATATATTTACGATTGAACGATTGTTTATTTTTTATCTCTTTATTATTTATTTATTTATTATGTTTGTGGAAGTGAAAGACAATATAAATACTGCGTCTTTATACAACCCACAAATTTAAAATATTAAATATTTCCATATGCGCTGTGCGCACATAGATTATATATGAAGCGCTCATAAGAGAGTATTTCAGGTCGAGCATATGCAGTAAAGGAAACTTTGTCTTTTTTTGCGCTGTGGTTTCTGCCATAAATATATTAAGCCGACAAACTTTTCCCATTGCTAGTAGGTGCTCAGCTGGCTAAGCTGAGTATGCATTGCTGGCAGGCCGCTTAGAGACGCAGCTAGTCACGAAAATTGATGACCGGAGTTTAACTTAATTGTATGTGGGAATCTGAATGGAATCTGTGGCATGCTGATTGTGTCAAGATTTCGTTTCAATTTGCGCCGCGATAAGGCAACGAGACATAAAAGTAAATTGAAATGCCTGTCGCTCGACACAGCATCAACTGGCCAGCTGACTATCACGGGTCGAGCACCTGAAACTGAACCTGAAGCTGGAAAGATGCTGTACAGGGGCGGCCGCGTGGACCTTGTCACGCACGTGCAGATGGCAGAGTTTCAAAAATTTTTAATTGAATTTGCCACTGGGCAACGGCTATTGTCTGAGCAATGGTTGGGGTTTGGCGTCTGGGCTAGGGCTTATACTGTTGCTACTCACTGTGTAACGGTATCATGTACTCCATTTCCGAGTCGCTATTGTCGGCCTCCTCCATGGGCTGTATGCCGCCTCCAGTTGCGGCAAACGAGTTGGTGCGCAGGGCCATTTCCATGGCACGCAATGCGGGCAGATTGCGGGGCAATTTGCCGTTCTGCAATGGAGACAAGCGTTGGCATATTAAAATTAGACATGGATAAAACACGTCCAAGGCACTTTAATTTGCAGACGGCAATTATTAATTGAGGACTGAAAACTGGTAAAAAAAAAAAAATAAATAAACGAAACGAACGACAAATTCGAGGCCACAAAAGGGAGACGAATGTCCTGAGCAGTGCTACAGAAATCATGAAAAAGGATAACACGTAGTAATCTGAGCAATGGATATAAATGCGTTTGCCTGCTCACCTTTGTCGAGCTCTGTTCTCTCTTTTTTTCCCCCGCTCACACGAAACTAAACTAAAAAGCAACAACGTGACAACTACTACAAAAACAACAACAGCAGCAGCAGAAGGAGCAGCAGATGTAACTAGATGCTGCCAGAAATCCAATTTCAGCAAGTAGCAAGACATAAATTTGTTTGTGCCACACAGAGACACGCATTAAAGCCTCGCACCGTTTGCCTTTCCAGGGAATTGGGTAACCGGACCGGGAAGGAAGGGATCATCCGCCCTGGCCATGTCCAGCAAATGAATTCTGTTAATGCAGACATTACTCGAGCATATTAAAAGTCCAAATGGTCATTTCGTACAGAATTTTATAGCAACTAGCCACACTCACACCACTAACACACACACACACACACACACATACACAAACACACACACACATACACACACACACAGACAGACAATGGCACTGGGGCAACAAATAGGCACATTTGTTCCGCCTCCCGCTGGCAAACCCCTTAGACGAGCCTCAGGACTGCAGCCAATGGCCAATGTAGTTAGCAGCCCAAACCTATGCGCAGTTTTGTTTACCTTGCCACGACAATTGCGGTTGATAACAACAAAAACAAAAACTGTTCTATTTGTAGTTGATTATACCTACATGCATACATACATTCTGACACATATATATTTTTTTGCACACCCCAACTGATCAACCAAGCGAAAGTGGTGCCCCGCCCCTTAGGACATTTAGTTTATTTGATGTTGCGAAATGAAAATTGTGACATAAAAGGGACTAACAACATAATTAAGTAGTGTCCGAATGTGAAAATCCAATGGCATAAAAAGCATTAAAAAAAAAACAGCAAAAGGAGCAAAATAATATCAACAACAAATGGAAGAGCAAACGAGCGAATGCGTTTATGTTCGGCTGCTGTTCGCCAAATGGCACTTAAAGGATTTCAGTCCAGAGCCCGGCCTCAAGTAGGCTCCGAGCATTATGGGGTAGCATGCATATTAACTGAATGGTTAAAGCACTAAGAAGGGGGCAACCTGATCACCAAGCGCACATAAGAGGCCATCTCCCCGTTTGTGGTCATAATTTTTAGTTTTTGCTGGCCACGTGTCGGCCACAAAAGGGTCATGATTAGTTCGCCCAATAAGGGACATGCCGAGGGACAGCACAAAAAAATAAATACAGTGCATAAGCCAGAAACAAATAAACAAAGCTAAAACAGAATCGAATGTGGGCTAACACATGCCCATAACTATTTTCAGGTCTTAATCATAGCTGGGCCTGTCTGTTGACACATTCCGGATTATACGACGCCTAACGGCGCAGAATATATTTTATTATTTATGAATCAAATAACAGTTTGCTAAGATTATTTTAAGTAAATCCTTCATATAGCATCATGAAAGCTACAAGAGCGCATTTAATAGATGCTCAAGCTAGAAATTGTAAACATTGCTTTAAAAAAAATAAAGGAATTGAATTTTTAAGTAGGGTATTTGCTGGCACACTCGAGAATTGTGGAAATATTTGATTTACTTTATTCGAAGCCGCCAACAAAATTACCAAATTGGCTTACTATGACTTTGAAAATTTGTTGGCCTTATACTTAGTGTAAATATTAATGTACGTAAACATATATATACTAACTTCACACAGCCGTTGGCATATCGTGCCGCGGCTTAGTTAGGCTCAAAATACCCTATAATGCTAAAATATTCTAAAGCAGGTTAACCTAAGGTGCAGCAGGAACATGTCACTAGCCTTTGAATATCTCTGTCTATGATATCTTTATAAATGCATTTACGTTCAAGATGAACATAAGCAAGAGATACCATATCCTGCCTACTATCGCATATATATGACTAAATCTTGAGGTACTTCTCGATATAGAAAAACAATTTTCGTAAAGACAAAAAGAATGCAAACATGTTTTATGTACATATATATTTAAAACAGCATACATTAACAACTGAATTCAAATACCTTTACGAAATCATATATGTTTTTTTATAAATATAGATGACTTCGCATTAGAATTTAAGCACCAATTGCTGGGTATCATGCAGTCGAGCTTTATTGCCAAACGCATTGCTTTTTGTTTTATTTGCTCATTTTTTGAGTATTTGACTTTATTTTCTTCGCCCGCAACCGTTTGCATGCACTGTTTGAATGTATATGTGAGTGTGTAAGTGTGTGTGAATGTGTATGTGTGTGTGTGCGCGTGTGTTGTGTGCCTGAGCTTTGTACAATTTTTTATTTAATAAAACAAATTCAGCGGACAGCCTGCGGCGAACATGGCAAGCAAAATTAAATTGTTTCGTTGTTTTGCGGCAGACTTCTTACAGCGAGATCTGGACGCGAACGCTTTATCATTTCTTGTTGCCGTTGACAGGAGAACGTGGCACGGCGGGAATGAAGCGGGCATGCGGGCACAGGGTACTGGCATTTGACAGGCCTGTCAGACAACTGGGGCGGTGACTGAGTGGCACACGCGGTCCCCATACCCCGGCGACTTGTTTGTAATTTCGTATTTTAATGACCAACAGACATATCAAATATGCATGTCGGAGCGGGCCAGGATTTATCTTTCTGCTGCTCGCTAACTCGCTGTGCAATTTCTGGATGGCGTTTCCGGAGTTTCAACTTGAAAAACAATTCAATTTCAACGCACAGTTTTCGTTAAACACATAAAGCAAATGCATTTGTGGCCACTCTTTGCATACATTTCGGCGCCGTTTTTCAGCTCGTTACATGCAAATGGCTGATTACAATGTCGAGCTTTAATGACGCAGCTGCGTGCTGGCCTTCACGCAAATATTGCAAATTACCTGTCAATAATATGGAAATCGCAGAAATTGCAGTCATCAAAGGCTTAACATTTTTTCTTTTAATAAAAAATGCGTGCACAGCAGGTTTCAGCGGGCACACACACGCACGATCTCTCAAAAATGTGGCCATATTTATTTATATATGTATGTGTGTGTACATGCAAGTTTGTCCAACTGTCAAGGCGTGCCGCCGCCCCCTCCCCCCTCCTCTTTAGGGCGTGACATGTGACGTGATTTCCACGCTGCGTGTTGTTGTTATTGCATATTGCGCCGCACTTCCGTTTCCTGGCGGCGCGCCGCTACGTTTCTTTTGCATAATAGACGTTGATTAATGACGCGCCAAAGCATAGGTAAAGGTGTATGCAATACATTATTTATGAGCGGAGTTGCATAATTAGCATCGCGCTAAATAGCCAGCAAAATTATTAGCGGCCACAACGGCCCAGGCCCAACGGTGCAATCGAGACTGCAATGCCATGGAATTTGTTGTTCCTGTCCTCCAATCGACCTGCTTTGACAGTTGCCATTTGCCAATTGGTATGCACAACGAACTGGCAGCGGCCTCAGTCCCATAAATTAGGCCCCTTCTCACATCACATCACTCAGAGCGAAGCGGTGCCAAAACAGAAAGACACGCTAGTGGCATCAATCGACAAAAGTGCAGAGCACTAAAGGACGCAGCACGAAGTATGGAGTACGGAAGTGACATAGTAGTCGGGGCCGGAAAGACACGCAACATTGCATATTGGGAGCACAGAGCGTATGAAGAATGCCAAATGCTGCCAACATGCATGGACTCAGCTCGAACCTCACACTGCCAACTGGCAATGATATAGCTCATAATTTCCAATTCGCATATTGCGGCTTGCAAGCGGCCGAGCAAACAAACGCAATCAGAAGCACTAACGCAAACCCAACTGCATTGTCTCTGCTAAATTCTGCATATCCTGTCATTGCATGCCACACAATGTCCTGGCCTGTTTGTTCAGTTGTAGTTAAGTGTGCTTTGCATGCCAACATAAACGCTCCTGTGTCTGCGTATAGGCTCCTCTACTGGAGTCTGTTCTATAGGCACATAAAAACTTCACATACAATTTTCGCATATCAATTTTAAGGAACAAAGTAGTTTGCAGGTATGCTGCATATTTCAAGTCTCTTGGCTCGATATAATTGTACTCGTACTTAATTCTCTTATTTGAATGTTATTAATATGTATGCATTTCCCCCTCTGCGTAAGAAGTTTTATCGAAATATCTACAAATGTGAACGATTTCTGTTTAATTACTGTCAAGCTAACTCGCATGACATGACTGAAGAGGGATATTATAAAAAAAAAAAAGAACCAATTTGAAAACCTGAGAAGAGAAGAATTATTGAAGCGAAGCTCATCAAAAGACTCAGCTTGGGAGCGAGACAATCTAGGTAAGTCCTTTATTATTATCTTAAGCTCTTTCATTTTTTATAAACAATTAATTTTTAAGTTTCCTTGCTTTGCCTTCTTTGTGTTGCTTGACATTTGCAATTCTTAACAAGTAAGGACTTCGAAATAGGGAGACGATAGTCAAGTATGCTGAGATTGAAGCCGTGTGGCACTTCAGCTATACAGACAGTATAAAAAGACAGTTCATTCATCAAAATTCAACCAGCCTCGAGCTAGCTTAATAATAGTATAAAATAGTAAAAGCTATTTTTAAGCAAGATTTGAAATCAAGATAGTTGGTAAATAATAAAGAATATTAATTGCCGCAAGCCGCAATTCTTTAATAATTAAAATATATCGAATTGCTTAATGGCCAGAGCCAATGTAAAGCTTTTGAAACTATGTACTTAATCGCGTCCAACTAATTGCCCGATAATTGACAGTTTGACGGCTTCGCTAATTTGTTTTTGCATATTGCGCTGTCAAAAACTTTTGTTACCC